GTAAATAAAAATGTGTCCCCATGTGAGGAACACACCCCTTTCTATATATCAGATTCCCTTTGCTTTGGAACTCATTTATTTCATAACAGATTTCATGAATCACCATAAGCTTCCTATGGATGCATCACCGTTGCTCTCCGATTGCTTTATTAATGCCCGGTTTGTAGTCAGTATGCAACATTTTCTCCCCCAGCTCTTTGACTTGCCTTGTCTGCCAAATGCAAAATATTGGCAATAGCTATGAGTAAATTGATGAAGTTCATGTCCCAATTAACCAGTTCATCTTCATTAGGTCAGAGCAATTTCTGTTATGGCTACTAACATGAGAATATGTTTGGAAATAGGTTCTAAATGAAGAAATTAAGACATAATTGCTTCCAAACTTCTGGCAGATCAAATGGACCTAAGAATAGATTCCTGACCTGTTTATTAAAACCAGAATTTCTCTTTTGAGACAGAATCTTTTCCCCACAGTAATTATAAAGAAAATAGCTTCTGCTTATTTTTTTTCTCTTTCCATTCTCCCAGTGATATTTGTTGGGGAATTGGGTGAAGATGACTTTTGCAAAATGCTTGCTATCTTTATAATGAGTTCATCCTGCTCAACCTGGCACTTATTTAAAAAACACAGCTGCAAGGATTCCTCTGCCATAGTTCAGGTGAATACTTGTGCAGTACAGTAACTTCAGAGAGGGATAAAGCTGGAGTTTTGGATTATGTAGATTATGCCCTGAGGCTATAAGGGTCTGTATGGAGAGGAACTGTCTGGATTTCAACCCTAATAAGACAAGTGGCTTTAGGTTTTTGAGCTAAATTCCAGTGAGTTGTCATTATTGACTCTGGATGGGGTAGCATTCCCCCAAGCAGAGTTGGTGGCCAACGTGGGGGTCCTCTTGGTGTTATAACTCCTTCTGAAAGAGCATATGGCAGCCATAGTAATACAATTAATATTGTATGTCAGTTGAACCCGTTCCTAGATCAAGATGCTTTGCTTGCAATCACTCTTTTCACAGTCAATTCTTAGTCCCTGACTGCATTACTGCAGCAGACTTTTGCCCATCCTGCCAGGTCCAAGATTAAGAGTGTGCTCCAGATATGGTTAGAGAAAATGACAAAAAAACATGTAGATTTTAAGCCAGAATTATTTCTGTTAGGTGTAATTGCAGGAAATTATGAGAAAGAATGTGTATATTTAATGTTACATACATTAACCACAGTGAGAATTGTATTTGCTCAACATTGGGAAGATGAAGAATTACCAGTGGAGGAAGAGATAATCAGGAAAAATTTGGACTGTGCAGAAGTGGACAGACTTACATTGAAAATGAAGGAGAAAGAAGATTCGGAATACTTTAGAACATGGGATACATTTTATCAGTGGCTAGAAAAACAAGGTAGAGAGAAAGGAGTTTAACATGTATTAGTAAGCTAAATATTGGAACTCAGACAATAATACGTTGCTGATAAAATATTAAGGATTTGTGATGATAAAAATTGAATAAAATATGGTTATAAAAAAAAGTGTGTGCTCCAGGTCCCTTAAATATTATTATCTGATAGGACCTCAGAGATGTATCTCTACTGTAGGTGCCCCAGCCTCTTAGACAATCATTCTCTGATAGTTGGACATCCCCCAACCTCTTACCTTCTGGAAGGTTGGGAAAACATCTCAGTCTTGTCCCTTAGCATTAGGCTAAGATTGATATAAGCCGGTAATGGAAGTTATGGTGGAAAGTGTGATGCTAGTTCAGTGATGGCGAACCTTTTAGAGACCGAGTGCCCAAACTGCAACCCAAAACACACTTATGTATTGTTGGGTGTCAGGTGGGCGTGGCCCATTGGGTGGGTGTGGCCCATTGAGTGGGCATGGCTATGGTGGTAACGGCAGACTGGGTGGGACTAAAAAGTTCAATCAATCAATTCCAACTTTGAGAGATCTTTTTTTTCCACGAGAAGTTGAAATTGATTGATTGAACTTTTGTTTTTTGCACATGGCGGCGGAGGCCTAAAGCAAAAAGGTTTTATAAAACCCAGCTGAAGGCCTAGGACTGGGGCGACGGCGCATGTGCCCACAGAGAGGGCTCTGCGTGCCACCTGCGGCACATGTGCCATAGGTTCGCCACCACGGTGCTGGTTTATATTTGTGATAGGACTGTTTTATTAGTTTTATTCTAAGCCACCTAGAATTATTGTATAAGAATTGATAGATAGATTGATTGGTTGATTGATAGATTGGATGGATGGATGGATGGACTTGTTTTATTGGTTTTGTTCTAAGCCACCTAGAATTATTGTATAAAAATTGATGGATAGATAGATTGGTTGATTGATAGATTGGATGGATGGACTTGTTTTACTGGTTTTGTTCTAAGCCACCTAGAATTATTGTATAAGAATTGATAGATAGATTGATTGGTTGATTGATAGATTGGATGGATGGATGGACGGAAAGACAGACAGACAGACTCAGAAAGAGAGCAATATGGATTTTCAGAAGGGACTTCACATTTTGATCTGGAAATTGTTCATACCAGCAGAGTATGAACATTTTTATGAACAATACACTGCACAAATTTTATTCTATTCTTTAAAGAAGGATCAAAGGAATAATAAACATGTAAAGTTTTTACACAAGGACGATTATTGTAGCAGTAGTCTAAGTCCTGTTGTCTATATACTATAATAGAAAACAATGATTTCCTCTTTTGAGAATAAGTCCAGTTTCTTTCCAGGTTCATATGATTCCTTCCCCAGTGGAGCCTTTGACACACAGCTTGTGCTTTTGATTCGATGGTAGTTTAGCCTGTTGTTTGAAGTGTAAATTATAATTAATTTTAACCATGATTTATTGTAGTTAATACAATAAATATATGGGGTGAACTAAATTCAGTCATTAAAATGGATGAATTATGCCTAATTGAAAATGAAAACAATAGCCTCTTAAGTTTCCCCTTTTGGCTTATTGACCATCAATTGCTGGGGTTTCTTTTTTTCTTTTTTTTTTGTTTGTGAGCTCAGCTTCTTTGGAAAAGATTCTCCAGTTGTAATAAAATGAACCCATAATGAATGACCTTTAAATGTCTGCCTTAACTCTGCCCATAAACCTACATAAATTTATTCTGAATCATGGTCAGGAGTACTGCGCTCCTTTATAGAATTACTTTGCCTGTGACATTTTAGTAATTGATTAGTAATTAACCGTCCCAAATATGTGTATGGTTTTTTATTCAGAACAAGCAGATTTATTCAGTTGTGTGTGTACCTGGGTGACTAATTAAAAATGGTAGCACTTCCATGCATTACGTATGCCAAGCTCTAAAGATGAGAGTGGCCTGTAGGAACAGTCCCAAATGTGCTTTTAACTGGACTTCCTTATTGTTTTCCTTGAAAATGTTTTGCTTCTCATCCAAGAAGCTTCTTCAGAACTGCACCTTTGGGACAACTATAACCTGGATGATTGAGAATCTCCATGGACGTCCTGCAGGAACTGGTTTCTCATAGCAGCCATAGGTAGTGCTGTACAATTTAGATGGCTTTGGAGGCCTGGAGCGCCAATTATAATGATTAAGACGAGGATCTTTGATAGCTGTCTCACAATATCTTAGAGAGATTTATTGGAGAGACTGAGTTGAAGCACCCTACCGCTTCACTCCATTAAGAGGTCAAGGAGTTGCGGACCCAGGAACAAGTTGGAGGTTAGAACATAGGGATGAATAGTTGGAAAGGAAAGTATGAGGAGGAGGATACGAATTAAATGAAGATTGGGATGGTTTGTCAGTTGACCAGTCCACTTTGAAGGTATGGAGTAAATAGAAGATGTTTGAAGGGGGTTGGACCTAGAGCAGGCACCCTGGCTGAGGAATTCTGGGATTTGAAATCCACAAGTCATAAAAGGGCCAGGTTTGAAGACCCTGACCTAGAGGATATGGTTCTGATGTGGCTTTGTGGATGATGGGACAGTAATTTGTTCTGAAAGTCACTCTTTATGATTCTTGTATTCCTTCACCATTCCCAAGCCAGATTTACACTTGACTTTAACCAAAAGTTCCAAGAAGTGATAGGCTAGATTTATATTCCTTTATAGGGCAGGATTCTTAGTCTCCATGACCACCGTGGAGGTAATATTAGGTCTGACTCATTTAAAGCTGCTTGGTTAGGAACTTAAGATTGAGTGACTCCTCGTCCTCTTCTTTATTCTTTAACATTTAAATGAAGCCGCTGAGAGAGATCATTCAGTTGTTTGAGGGTGCAGTTGCCACCAACATGCTAATGATATCCAGATATACAGCTGTAATTGGAAACTGCCTCTAAGAGAAGCATGGAGATGATTGTTGTGTCCATGTTATACCCTATAGAGGGAGATTAAAACTGCCTAATGGAAGTTATGCTGATACCCTGCATTTTCTACAAGGGGCATCTATCTAGTAATTATTGAGTTATGAGCAGGTGCTTAACAATGATAGGAAACTGTTAAGTGACAATTGTAGGAAACAGGATAACAATCTCTCCCCCCCCCAACTGTCTTCTACTTACAGTTCCTTCTTCATTCTGTTGTGTCCAACTCGGGAAAAGATAATTGCTGCAGATAAAAAGATAAGGACTGAATTAATATGTGTCACTTACAGCTAAGTTAAAAAAAGTATTGTATTTCTTTTAATAAAAAACTTTAAGGGATTATAGTTTTAATACAATGGTCCAACTAAGTTTAAAATAAATTTTAAATAAAATCGTGCTTCTTTGTTTTACTGCTGTTCAAAACTTTTTCAGAAATATACAGATTTCCTTATTTTAGATGTCTGGACACATAATTCACATGGTTAAAATATTTGGTACATGTAGAGACAAGTCACGTCATCCATCTGGAAGTGTAAAATGTTATATGCATGCTTAAGTCTACCAAATCCTATGGTAGCAGCTAATCTGTAGGTAATAGCATCTTATATTTGCTGAAAGTGAATTAAACTGTAACATCATTGAATTTGTGTCTCTCTTTTTTGCAGGCAAGAGGAGCAGACATCCCTGAGATTTCTGGAGAGTTATCCTTGCGAACCTGTGGCAGCACAGCTAGCATGAAAGTGAAAAATGTGAAAAAGTAAGATGTTTTCTTTCATCCTTGCAACTTCAGTGAAATTCTCAGTATTCTTAAATGTTGACTCCCAAGATACTGGTTGACTTGTTGTCGGTATATAGGGGGAATAAGTAAATTAATACCCGTTGCACAAAGGCAGTAGGAAAGAAAAGGTCAAAGTTTCCCTGTCCAATCCATGTCCAAATCTAGAGCTTGGTGTTCATCTCTGTTTCTTGGCTGAGAGAGCCAATGTTGTCCAAAGACATTTTCCATGGTCATGTGGTCAGCATCGCTACCCACCAAAGGCTCACAGAATGCTATTACTGCCTCACTGAAGTGGTAGCTATTGATCTACTTGCATTTGAACTCCTAGGTTGGCAGTAGCTGGGGCAAGAACTCACCCCGTTGCACAGCACTTGGCTCTTGAACCCGGCTTGCAGCTTTCCAGCTGGCAAGCTCTGTGTCTTTAACTGCTGAGTCATTGTGCCCCCTTCAGTAGGAAATATGCTCCCTTCAACAGAAAGCTGGCCCACATTTTCTGCCTTTCCCTCCCTCCTTCCCTCCCCCCTTTTAACCGCTAGAAACCAAGGCAGGCCAATATATAAAGTGTTTTACTGATTTATTTTTTCAAACCACCTACTACTGCAACTGTGCAGATCTCTGAAATTAAAACAGATGATTTCTAAACGGGTTAAGGAGTTGGGATTCTGCGCTGCATCCCAGCTACCAGAGTAACTATCATTAACAGATCTCTATACCAGTGTTTCTCAACCTTGACAATTTTAAGGCATGTGGACTTCAACTCCCAGAATTCCACAGCCAGCATTGCTGGCTGTGGAATTCTGGGAGTTGAAGTCCACATGCCTTAAAATTGTCAAGGTTGAGAAACACTGCTCTATACCAACCACTATTTAAAGCTGGCTTGTCTGCTTTCATCTTCTGTGCCTTCAGGCTCCAGTCTTTGGTGCAGTGGCTTCCGCAGAGAGAGCATTATCTTAACTGCAATCTTGTCATTGGAATGAACCAACTCTACCTCATTGCTTTTGATTCTGGTGGCAGGGCCTCGTATCTCAAATCAGACATCAGGACAGACGAGCTTTAGATAAGCTTCTTTAGGTTTATGTTTTCTCTTGATGATTAGCTAAACCAAAGCATAAACTTTCTATACCTAAGAAGAAAAAGTTGCCTCCAAGTGCCATTGACAAGAAAAGTATGGTGAAATGCTTATCTTAACTATCACAAATTTGAGGAAGGACTTTTTTGAGCTTCACTTCCTTCCTTCCTTCCTGTGTAATCCCCTCTGTTCCAATTTAATCTGCTGGTAGGGAGGGCGGGCTTGTATTTGACCCAGTTGATCCATTTGATTTGAAATTCAGAATTCAGAAAAGTGTCCAGGAATGGATTTGTTCAGAACTCTCATCCAGAGAAGCTGGTGACCCTGTTTTCTAGTTTGGAAAGACCAGGTGCTAACTCTCATTTTTCTTTTAAAGCCCTAAGGGAAGAATGAATGATGATCATACATATTTTGTTCACAACCAAAAATGTGCTTCAGGACACTGTTTCTGCACTGCTAAAATGCAGCTTCAGCAATACCTATCATTTTGTAACCCCAAGTCAAAGCTAGAAAATAATTAAGATGCATGTTTAGCTCCCAGATCTACCAATAGAGAACTGATGGACTATAATTCCTTTCACAAATAATACCTGTCAACTGGGATAGATATATGAAGTTTATTCATGTTTCTTGGTTGGTTCTCTACCCTTCAACCTTTTACCATTTTTGGCACTAAAAGACAAACTCCTTGCTTTCCTATTTCATTTTCAGATGCAGGGTCTTTCTAGCTGGAATTTCTCCTAACAACAAATAATACCGTAAATGCCAGCGTACAAGGCGACCCGGCGTATAAGACGACCCCCGTCTTTATAGCCGGGCCGCATTCCTAGAACGTCATCTTATACGCCGGAAACTACCAGTATTTCCGGCGTATAAGACGACTCGGCGTATAAGACGCCCCCCGTCTTTGGCGTCGATTTCAGCGCTCGTGGAAGTCGCCTTATACGCTGGCATTTACGGTACTTTATAATTTGCTTTCTTCCCTAGAAACCTTTCCTTTACTGTTTCTTTGTGTTACAAAGACTATACTCTCTGTTCCGTGGGATTTGGAACGCTAAGACATTCCAATGACAATGTCAGGAGAATCGTTACTTTATTAAAGTGTCAGTTCTGATTTCTGCAATAATATACTCCAAACTTGTTACTTGTGTTTCAGGTTGTCCTTCACCAAAGGCCATTTTCCAAAGATGGCAGAATGTGCGCACTTCCATTATGAAAATGTGGACTTTGGCAATATACAGGTGAGACTGTTAAATCAGGTTAAACTGTTTCACGTGTTGCGTTAGGAGATGCTTGCTTCCGGAGTGATTTATGACAAGCAGGCTCTATTATGCATGCTAATTGCACCACATACTGTCAGTCCTGTTTTGAATCCTTAATCTTTCCCTGTATTTGAATGAACATCATCATTTCTATTTCTATGCTAGTCACTGGGGAATAATAATGGAATTCCGCCTCAGTGTCAGCGCTGCTAACATCGGATGTTTTTGCTTTGACAACAGTTAGAGATGCAACCATTTTCTTCTTATGTTTTACTTTTAGAGTTAGAGCTAGAGTTAGATGATGCTGGGGGGAGGAATGTGCATGAGAGTTCAGCTAGACATAACAATACTGGACCTAGTTTGTGAACCAAGGTTATTGAAATAAGAGGTGATAAGAATTGGGCTGGAGAACTGGAGGGAAAGCCTGCATTTCAAACTAATTGGAGAATATGAGTTTTGACTGTTAATTGGAGGAGGGAATTGTGCTTTGATCCTATGTGCTTAGAGGAGGGGAATCCAATTTTTGGCTTTGATTATGTTAGTGCCGATGCTATGCTTCTCTAATAAAGATTTTTTAAGGTAAACAATCTCAAAGTTCTTTGAAGAGTTTCATCTGTCAGAACCATGACACCCAGTGCTTCATAAATAAAATCACTTCTCTTATTTGTTAAAAAAATAAGAGTAGACTAAAGGACATATGTATACTGAATCATAGAATCATAGAGCTGGAAGGGACCTTGGTGGTCTTCCAGTCCAATGTCCTGCCCAAGGCAGAAGTCCTTATACCATGCCAGACAAATGATAGTCCGTTTTTTTCTTGAAAAACTCCAGCGAAGAGCATCTCACAACATGAAAATATGTACATACTAAAACTAGCGTTAGTAATAAGAATCAGTAACCAGATTGTGACAAAAGTGATTCAAATGGCTTATGTAAAATTCCCAGTGAATCCAGTCTAAAAGACAAAGCAATCTTATAGATATTATCTATTAATTTTTGATTATTCTTTATTTTAAAGCTGTTGCTTTAGCTTAAGTTGGTAACAATCTATATATTTTTAAATGAGCTCATAGATAATAACTTCAATAAAGACCCAATCATGTTTTAGTAGTATAAATGCTGATGGTCAGGCAGCCTGATTATAGTGACTGGACAAACTTCTACCATTTTTTTCTCCCTGCTAGATATACTTTAGCACATGTTTTTTCACAGATGTATTTTCTTAAAAGCCAGTTTTTCAGGGTAAGGCTGTGCCAAAAGTAGCATAGCTTTCAGTGGTTTTTATGGATTGCACAGTATAAAGAAAATTGCAGAATTAATCAGAGGCCACCATGCAAGGCAGACAAACCTGTCGTATCAAAATAGTCTCAACAGTTGATAGACTCCTGCTGGTATATAGTAAGTGACTTTTATTTAATAAAACATCTTTAGCTTGCCCTGTGTAAATTTTAGGGCACAGAGTAGTAATTAAAACACTTAACTGACATTAAGCAAAGTCACAATCCAGCACTGACAATAAAATAAATGCTGATGTATTTATTCATTCATTCATGGCATGTGAGGGGGGGTGGGGAGTGAGTCATCGTACACTTGCTGAGCAGAATAGAGAAATAACAGAATGGTATCAGACATTGAATGCTGAAAGTGTGGATTAACCTTTCCAGTTTTGTTCCTTCCTTTTCCTTTCTTCCCCCTTACCCACCTTTTATTTTCCTGTTTCTGGTGGAGGTGAAGGAAAGTGTGACGTTGTGTGCCAGAGTGGCTTTGTATGTAAGAGAAAGCTATATTGATTGCTAAATAAAGTGTTTTTTTTCTAAATCAGGTATTTTATTTTATAGGCAATTAATTTGAATTGGTATTCATTTGATGAATACAACTTAAAATGTGCTTTCTTTTTTTGGGGGGGGATTCTGACCAGCATGCACACGTGACACAAATGTAAATATGTCACAGCACATTAACTTGAGGAGGGAACCTCCAGAATTGATGTCCAGCTGGAGGTAGGTTGACAAAGTACAGGGCCTGAGCATTGCACAAGAATTTTATTTTTGTTTTTATTGTTTCCAACCCAACAAAATATTGGAAAGAAAGCATGGAAAGAGAGTTGAGACTCTATGCATAGTAGGCCAACCGTGCAGAACCAAAACTGAACAGGATCACTTTTAATGTTTAAGGAGAAGCTAGCAGAAGAGAAAAAAGAAGGTTTAAAAATTGGGCTGGACCAGGCTAGAAGCTGCAAAAGGGAAAAATAAATCCAGAATGTTTTTTTTCTCAGTGTGCCTCAATGGGGGAAGCAGCCTGGTGAGAGTAGAGATGGGGGGGGGGGTTGAGAATGCTGTTCACTTCTCTTTCTGACACCCCCACTGCTGATAACATGGGTTGGAAAGAATCCCTTAAGCCAGTGGTTCTCAACCTGTGGGTCGGGACCCCATTTGGGGTCGAATGACCATTTCACGGGGGTCACCAAACAAGGCTGTCCGCCATTTTTCTCCCCTTTTCTTTGGCCACGCCCCTGGCACCCGGTGATGTATAAGTGGTTGGGGGTCACCACAACATAGGGAACTGTATTATGGGGTCGCGGCATTAGAAAGGTTGAGAACCACTGCCTTAAGCCATCCTTCCTTCCTTCCTTCCTTCCTTCCTTCCTTCCTTCCTTCCTTCCTTCCTTCCTCCCCCCCCCTCTCTCTTTCTTTTATTTCAGAGTAGTTTTCTTTTTGAGAAAATTCAGTAATCACAAAATAAAATTCTGCTAAAGTACAGTCAACAGGACCTTGAATTTTTCTAGCTTATCATAAACAAAACAGTGTCCTCGCCATCCCTACCTCTGGAGCTGTGGGATAGTGTTGCACGACTGACTTCCCTCATTTTGTTCACACAGAAAAGAGCTCCTTTTAGCAGACTTAAATGCAGAGAGAAGAGCTTCTTCAATTATTGAGACCCTAAGCAGTTTGTGACTTGATAATCTTTTTGTCACATCTTCTGTCTGAAAGCAAAGTAGGATGAGTCAAGATAGCCTCCCCCCCCCTTAACAAATGTTCATAACTGCCCTGGTATCCCTTTCTTAATACCTTGACCGCAGAGGGGACATTGGTAACTGGCCAGTGTTTCTTTTTGTTCCAGGGAGAATTTGTCTGAATGGTTGACAATATTACTAAAAAACCTGCTTACCGGTCCAAAATGTAAAATGAGTGTTGAGTTATGTTGATTTTAGTACATCAGCCTATATATCCTGGCAGAGGCATAAAAAAAAAAAAAAACGCTTGCTCACAGTATGAATCATGTTGACTTCAATTTGCAAAAAGATAAAATGACCAATGTGTTACAGACTTTCCTTTGCTAGAGCTGCAGAATAATTTTTGTTCAAGCAGAGGTGGTGTTTTTGTACAAGAAATATCTGGTTGATAACGTTAGTGACTTGCTAATATATGTATTTGTCTTTGATTAATTATATTGATTTACCAAAGGAGCTTGTGTTCTTGCTGATGACAATATTAGCTCTGGAGTCCTTGGGGCTTTCTGAGGTTGTTTGTTTACAAACCCCACATTCCCTAGCACTGAAGGTACTACCTAGTCAGGTAATGAAATGTCTTCAAGCAAACAGCCAAGCCCAGAGAACACCAAGGATTCCACAGTCCAACGATGAGCTAAATATATTATCTTCTCTTGGAATATTAGCTTTAGTAATGAAAAAAAAAGTCCTACTCAAGCAATCCTTATTTAAGCAAATAGAAAACTAGTACAAAAAAAAGTTAGGTAGCAAATAGTTAACAATGAAATGGATTTTTGTTTTGCTGTAAAATTTTAACAATATGTTGTGTCTGAAGTGGGACACTCTTGTATTTCGTGGGCTTAAAAGAAAAATCTGGCTAATCTCTCTCTCTCTCTCTCTCTCTCTCTCTCTCTCTCTCTCTCTCTCTCTCTCTCTCTCTCTCTCTCTCTCTCTCTCTCTCTCTCTTTCTTCTTAGCAACAAAAGCAGAGTTGTTGGCATTCCCCAGAAAGTTGGGAAAAAAACTCTGCCATTCTTTATATATTTCACTTGACCTAATTTCTCTTCATCCTGTAGAGAAAGTAAGATTCTTTAATAAAGAACTTTATGTTGGTTGGGCCTCCAGGTCTCCTGGCACTTAGTAAGCAGCCTTCAATTTCACAAATGTAAGAAGAGCTGAGAATTTAAATTACCCCCTCTCCTCAATGTCAAAGGACTGGAGCGTGTGCAGTTTTGTAAGAAAGAGATTTGCTGCAAAGCAGTAGCGGACAAGGAAAAATAATTTATTTCTAGAATTATAAGTCTTTCCTTTCTCAATACTGAGTAAATATATGCAAGGGGATCCTGTTAAAGGCACAGTTTGGCTCTGTCAGATAATGTCACACTGTTATAAATAATTGTTCTTTTATTCTTGGCTTGTAAGTATTAAGCTCAGCGAAATGGCTGTTGAAAAAGGCCCAGTGGTATAAAAGGCAGAAAGCAGCAAGGTAAGGATGAAAATTCCAAAGCATGATGATATTGCAGAAAAAAAATGCAGTCAGACCGGGCCATTTAATTTTGCTGAATTCATTTGAGATATTTCCACCTGGAATTCAGTTCTTGCTTCCTCAGACAGCAATTTTAATATTTTCTGTTGGCTTTGAAAGGAAGAACAACTTTCATCTTGAATGATTGACATCCCCCCCCATTTATATATACTCCTGTCATTCTTAACCATTGCAGTACATTTCTTTTTTAATTGCTAAGAAAACTGGTGATGCCTAGAAGCGAAGGATAGCTATATCTGGGCTTTTATGTAGAAGTGTGATTCATTTTGGTTGCATTCTTCATAAAATGTAGTTGTGCCAGAAGGACTACTGGAAATCTCACACTGGTTGTATGGAATAAGATAGGAATAAGTAAAATGCAAGTCATAGAGGAGAGAGGGGAACCCCAGCTATAAGAGTTTCCTTAGTAATGCTGTTGGATGAACAGTAGATGAAGCTGAGAACA